AAAGATGACTTCATCTAACAAAACTACCCTACCAGCTGCTATTGCATGAGCAAACAATGTAATAAAATGATAAGTCAGTACATTAATGTAGGTGAACTGGTTATGTCATGATATAATTATAATTAAGAAGACTTGGAAATTACAAAAACTTATGAGTTTTAACCACAAACAATGCATGGTTGTTATAATTTTCAGAGTGGAAGAAAGTTCTATGTTAAAAATATTGAATATGATGATGTTATTTATAGAACAGATTTCGATCATCCTTGTCTTTACACTTTGCAAAGTTGTTCTCAATCATTTTTACTAAATAAAATAAAATGATTACTCAAACTCCATAATGAGAAAGAGTCAAATTCGAAACAACAAGGTTGAAGCTACAACAATAGTACTAATGTCTATTTACTTCAATGAAGTAGACTAAGCATAAACACAATCAACAGATTCTTATATGTGTTTACCAATGAGTGATGAAGAGGAACGCGTCATCATTCCTTAGCTAAACTAGAGAAATGTCAAGTTAAAAACTAAAGAATATACATCTTGCATAAAGAATGCCAGTAATTAGCTATAGAATTTCAAGAATCATCTTCGGTCCAATTTATAATGATCAAGAAATGAAAATACATTTTTACATCCACAGAAAATGTAATAAATGCCACAATAACATTTAAATCATTCAAATGAGATACAAAGTATGACAAAATCATTATGCTAATGAGTGATGATCAGCGTAAGCTTCACACTTCATTTTGCGATAAATTGCCAAGAAAAAATAGAAAACAAATTTTGTAGCCAACAATTAAAAATAAACCGAAGTTCATCATATACTGTCGTCGCATTCGAAACTAATATCATAAATCGAGAAAAACATTCGAATCAAATGACCTATATTTTTCATATAGATTTCCACTTCAAATCACTAATTAATTTGGAGTGCAAAGACAATAAGGGGAAGTAATCTTTAATTTGAATAGATTTCAAAATAATTCTCGAATGTAGCATTCAAGAAAGAACCAAAGTAGGAAATAAAAAATTAAGAAAATAGACATTAATTCACATGTGTAAAAGATTTTTATGATTACTTACAAAATCAACTATTTGATAATAGCTCTTGTAAAGATCAGATCCCAAGTCCTCAATCACCAAACCATCTTCTTTTTCTTTATTTATAAAGATTATAATTTTGTAGCCAACAATTAAAAATAAACCGAAGTTCATCATATGCTGTCGTCGCATTCGGAACTAATATCAGAAGATCGAGAAAAACATTCGAATCGAATGACCTATGTTTTTCATAGAGATTTCCACTTCAAAGAACTAATTAATTTGGAGTGCAAAGACACTAAGGAGAAGTAATCTTTAATTTGAATGAATTTCAAAACAATTCTCGAATGTAGTGTTCAAGAAAGAACCAAAGTAGGAAATGAAAAATTAAGAAAATAGACATTAATTCACAGGTGTAAAAGATTTTTATGATTACTTACAAATTCAACTATTTGATAATAGCTCTTCTAAAAGATCAGATCCCAAGTCCTCAACCACCAAAATATCTTCTTTTTCTTTATTTATAAAGATTCTAATTTCTGAAATTATTTCTAGTCAAGCCCAATTTTTACAATTTTTTAGCGACAAGAAGATTGCATAATGTAATGAAAATATGCTAGATTTAAGGGGGAGAACCAGAACCTCCTGCTTTAATTTCCCCAACAGACACTTTTCCAACCTAAAGCTAACATTTCTTAATTCAAACTCCCAAACAAGCACAAACAAAAAGCTTATTCACTTTCCAAAATATGGCATGCAGAAGTAAATCACAGCATGCTAGCCCAAGTTTCAAGAAAGTACAGAGAACGTTTTTGGAATCGAACGATTACCTATTTCTTCTTTTAAATCGACGATTTCCTTCGATTCTCAATGTGGGTTTTCGATGCCTCTTGGGGTGGGTTCTGGGCCTTTTTTTTCTCTATAGCAATCGTGTAAATCATGAAGCTCTTGGTGGTTTAGAAAAAATGCAGAAGAAAAAAAACCAAAACTTAGGTTTTTAACCACGCAAATCATCGGCGGTGGACATTTTCACTTTTTTTGGATGAAAGTCGATGGCTCAGCTTCAAATGATTCTACAGAAAGAAGGGAGGGAATTGAAATTAAATGTGACTCTTTCACCATAGACGACGGCACGGGATTGTTGTAGTTTTGTGGACTTCGTCGGCACTGGACAATAGAAAGGCGGTCGGCGACGACGCTATGGATTTGAAATCAGAGAAACGAGATACACAGTGAGAGAGGGTTAAGGAGAGAAGATTAACCCTTAAAGGGAATGATAGATATTTTTCTTCTTTAGGAAACGTGTTATTGGGTTTTGGTAGGTATTTTTTATTCTTCAACCTGACATTAGATTGTACAATCTCTTCGCTAGTCAATTCTCATTTAATTGGGACCTGTAGGGCATTTCAAATTATCTAAAGGGGCAAATATGTCAAAAAATAACATTTTTGTAATGTAAAAAAAAAGTGACATTTTTGTAAATGTGTTGGACAAATTTGACATCCTCTGTAATTTCCACATTTTTATTTTACTCTCTACAAGATTTTGATAACGAGCTTAGTAGATTAATGCTCAGTTTGGCAAAATTTATAATTATAAATACAAATGGTTTAATTTTATTTTTTATAGCACGGTATACTATTCACAAATATTATTCATTTAAAATCGAAGAGTATGTTCCAATGAATCCACAAATAATATACTTAGGATCAAAATCAAAAATCAAAGAATCGAACAAAATGTTCGTTATTTTAGTGTCACGTGGACCAGTCAATGAAATGATATTAGCATCCATCATTTGAGGGTCTAGATCTGAATTTGATCTCGATTTTTGCTTTTCTCGTAAATATTTTTTTGAAAATTTTTCTTCACTTTTTCTAGATTTTTTTTATGATTCATGTATCCGAATTTCGTCTGACTAATCCTACAGTCTTCCCCCTCGGTTCGCCACTCGAGTAAATTTGGATGGTAACAGCTTATACACATTTGAGTCGAACATTCGAGGGATGCAATTCTTCACTTTGTGGAACTTCCTTTACGAAGTATGGACAAGACCCTAGAAAGAGCAACAAAATGCACCATAACTTTGCTTCCACAGAAAATCTGTCTTCCAACATAAATGTTGCCTTCTACCTATCGCGGGGATTCGAACCTTCAATGCTCCGCAAAAAACCCTCATACTTTACCACTGCATGCATGCCCACTTTTTCTACATTTTTATGTGAATTTTTTGTGGTTATTGGTTTGTTAGTGGCCGCAATATGTTGAATAGAGGCTGCTCGCGGAAATGATGAAGACATTAAGAATTAATACTTAGCATGTTTGAGTTCCATTTTATTGTAAGAATGTATTTCGAATAGTAGATTAATGGAGAATATATGATTAAAACTTAATGAAAAGTTTTAGGTTTGCGTGCAATATTATTTTATTAAAGAATCTGTAGCTGAAAAGAAGAGAGAGAAAAATATATTTTGGAAATAATAGGATAAAAATATTGTTTCTTTTTCTTTGATCCTTATTTTCAGATATGAAGATTGAAGGAGAAGAATATTGTTTACTTCCATTTCTTTGATCCTTATTTTGAGAAAGCAAAGAATTTGACCAAGCATTTCGCTTGATGGTGATGGCCAGGCGATGGTGAATTTTTATAGCGATCCAATGATATCAAGTAACATGATTAATATATCTAGTAAAACTTGAATTTTTTAAATAGAAGGTAACATTCGTTAACATAACATGTTAACTTTGTAAAAACATCGTCTAATAAAAAGTAACATGCCTTAACGCAACATACTACTCCTATAAGACGTTGATTTTTTTAATGAAAAGTAACGTAGTAGCACAAAATGTTGCTTGTATAAAACATTGATTTTTAATGAAAAGTAACACATACGCCTTTTCTAGGATTTTTACTATTTTTTAGATTTTAAACCAATATTTGATTGAAGCATAAAGTGTCAAATATTGGTTATTGACATTGACATGGTTTCACAATAGAAAATATTACAGATATCTTGGAAATACTGGACAAGCTTTACCCCTACACAGCTCGTGGAAGATTATCTTGGTCAAAATCGAGAAATCGCAAGGTTTTGAACTTTGTAGAGAAGAAAAGAAACAACAGTGTCCACAGATATCTCATCATGTCAACTACATCATGATTAAGCGTGATTCAATTCATTTTGTTTAGAACAAAGATTGGTGTTTTTATGCGAAGGAATCAGATTTTTATGTTACTCTTGCCACTAGTTTGTCAGTTATCTCACATATTCTATAAGAAAATTGTTTTCGAATGTATACATTCAATAATTCTTCACACTGATCAATGTCCAAACAAAATTAACAATGAGCTCTATTTGTTTCCATTTCTTGATTCCTTATCTCTTGATCTTCCTGTCAACCTTCTCAATATCCACGAGATGTACTTACTGGAAACATCATAGATTGTGTTACATTGCTTTCTATCAAGACTCTGATCCACTGCAGGTCCGGAGCATGGGGAGCTTGGCCTCACAACCTTTCTGGCACCATCCTCGGTCTTTTTTCAACTTGACATCATTGACTAAACATTGATATGTCCCGAAATAAACTCCAAGGGGGCTACTACAAGGCATATTCTCTACTCTCCAAAGACTGGTAAAGCTAAATATTGCAAGAAATCAACTAATAGGAAATATTCCTTCCTCGGTTTGAATGCCAAGAGCTTATGTCGTTTGCTATAAGTATAAATGGCTAGAACCATCTTTTTGAAATATGCAGAAACTTGATTGTCTTGCACTCAATCCAGATCGAGCTTGGATATGTGAAACCTGATGACTTGGATTTCATGTCATCCTTGCTAAATTGTACTCACTTTCGCCTTCTACATCTGAGTGAAAACAATTTCCAGGGAGTTTTGCCAAGGCAATATTTCAGGGCTTAGGCGATTTACTGTTGGTTAAAACTTGGAGACAATGTATTTGTTGTCAAACCAACTCACTGGTAGTATTCGTAATTCTGTAGGAAAGCTTCAACAGTTAAGAATATTATCTCTTTATGAGAACAGATTATCTGCGGAAATACCATCTTCTATCAGACATTTAACCACATTGACGGAACTCTACCTGCAAGGTAATAATTTGCAGGGTAACATACCTAATACTCTTGGAAAATGCCATTCTTTATTATCAGCTGATCTTTCTCAAAACAATCTTAGTGGTTATATACCAAAGAAATTATTAGCCTCCCATCTTTATCAGAATTCTTAGACCTCTCAAGCAACTGTTTAGTGAGCTCCCTTCCTTCAGAAATCAGTGGTTTAGAACATCTAGTCCTCTTGAATCTTCCTAACAATGTTTGTCTGAGACTACTCCAGACAGTTTCGATAGCTTGATAAGCTTGAGGGAGCTTTACAAGATTCTTATGAATTGACAAATATTAAATTCCATATTAATTACAAAACTATTAAAAATAAAATAGGCAACATTTTGAGTATTTGATACAGTAAGTAAGACCTTAAGATAATACAAATGGACAAGTTACAATCGCATGATCAAGAACTTCAAGAAACAGGGAGGACCTTCTTGACAATATCCTCACTAAGAGCAGCAATCTGCGAGTCGAGAGCCTTAATAGTATCCTCCTTCTGCTTATCCAAATTAGCTAAAGCCTCTTGCAACTCAGCCTCCACTTTCTTCCTCCCCTCAGCTATCTTCTGCTCCACCTCAAGCTGAGTCTCCTTCTTCATCTTGTTCAACGCAGCCGATATCTCTGCCCTAGCAGCCTTCATCACAGCCGTAGCCTGATCTTCCAACTGTTTCACCTCTGCAGAAGTGTCCTTTACGCTGCTCAGCTTCTCCCTTATAGCTGCATCCCTTTCATCCATAAATTTCCCCAGAGGGCTGTAATAAATCTTGTCCAAAGCAAACATGAGGAACAAGAATTCAGCCGCAATAATAGGGAGTGTCAAATCGAAGTCGAAAAGCGCCGCCTTTTCGAATTCTTCAGCCAAGGAGGGAGGTGCCTGTGAAAGTGAGAAGGAGGTGGCTGCAAGAATTACAGAAATGGACTTGAGGGAAGAAGCGGTCAGGGAGAGGAGTTGGTGGGGTTTTGGGATACTGGGCAAGGCTAATTTGGGGAGGACCTTGATTCTTGTGGAGGAACAGGTGGAAGGGGTGGATGTGATTGGGGCTTTGGAGGAAGCCATGATCATGTTCGCCATTTCTCTCTTCTAGGTTTTCAAGCTACCTCTCCTCTGTGAATGTATGCAGGTATGTGTGGTGATTTTTCACAGAGAATGCAGATCTAAGAAAGGCTATCTCAATCTATGCCACACAATCTATGCCACACAAATTGATGAGGTTGTAGTGAATGAATTCAATTTGATTCAGGGTGACGTATGGCCGAGCAGCTCCGGGGCTTGCACGCCCAATTCGGCCTAGCTCGTACGGACTCGGGTATTGAAATCAGACTAATTTTGAAGTGAGTCATGGGCCATTTCATGAGCCGGCTCGTTTTAGGCTCATGAATCTATTCGTTTTGGGATCGTTTTATTAATTTATTTTTATTTTTTAAATGAAAAAATGAAAAACACAAGAGCTTGCAGACGGCCGACTTGGCCACAAGATTCACGAGCTCGAACCGAGCCTAGTTTGTGGACACAACCCAAACTCGTGTATCTAAGGGTCAAGGTGACTCGACTCAACTCGATACATGCCACCAGTGGCGGAAGCAGATATTTAGTGTTAGTAGAGCACGATCAAACTTATTGGTTAAATAATCTCAACTCTCACTCTCTCAATTGTTCGGTCATCGCTGTAATTCTATTCCAATTAAAAAGCCCAATTATCGTTATTGTCCAAATCTGATTTTTGGCTCTAAAACCCGCCCAAATAATAATAATAATAATATCTTGAAAGTTGGTGGGTCACTTGACCCACCAAGACCATATATAGGTCTGCCAATGCATGCCAACTAGAATATGTAACATGCGTACTTGAAGCAGGACTTTTTTTTTCTTTTTTCTTTTTTCCTAATTTAATTCTTTCTTTTTTTTACATATTTTGTAAGAAAAATCCCCCCGGCAGAGGGAGTGGGGGGATTCCATGTAAAAGAGAAAATCGGAATGTCACCGTCTAGCCACTAGCAAGGTCATCGGGTAATTTCGAATCATACCTATAAATCCTTTTACTAGACATGCTAATCTAAATACAAATTCTACTGCAGTTAGCTAGCTTATATTTGAGCTTAATCTCAGATCAACCACTAAAACTAGGAGAAAACGGAGTTCTTTCGACATTCGACGAAATGTAATTCAGAGGTAAGCCAACAGGAATGTACTAAGGCAAACGTTTCTCATTATTCAGCCTCAATAATGGTGACAATGGAGCAAAAAAAAAAAAAAAAGATCAAATCTATCTTTTGATTCTACAAGTCATAATTCATTTTACAGGACAGTTTGCATTATGGATGTTGAGCTTTGATGAAAGCTTTCCGACTCAAGTTCATTCCCGGTGATTGGTTGAGGCACAGTCCCAGATCGTGAAGATGCAACAATCCAAGCTGTTGCCCTGCTTTCCAAGTCTCCCCTTTAGATGTACATTTATTACTGCAAAAACCGTACGACATTTTTAAAACCTCTTGCTAAACTCTGTGAAAATCTCGAGGAACTACTCTTCTCCACTGTCATCTCAGAGCTGGGCAATTTATGATTTGGGAACCACCCTCTTAACAAGTGAGTTAACTTGAACTCATATTGCATAACGACACCTTTATCAGACTCAACATTGTCATCTTGCTTGTTCTCTATGATCTCTATATAATGACTTTGAACATTCTCTTGTCTGTTCCTGTGTCCATTTAAATCACAAAATGTTTTAAACAGGACCAAATTAGTAACAACATGCATCGATGATGAATAGCTTCAATAAACGTGTGAAAGCTAGGAAATCTGTAATCTTCTGGTTTCCGTGCTGAATATTGATTGGAATGCAAGCTCCAAGATAATCTCAAAAGGTTTGAAAAGACAAAAATCCTCATAGTATATTCAGTGTTCGTTTTATGAATCAGAAGGGAAGCAAAATTGAGGGTGGAGTCATAATTTGATATATAGAAAAGAGATGTCTATTCTAATGACCAGAAACTTGGAAGCTGATGCAACAAATATTAGGTGCATTTGCACTATTTGTTTAACAGTACAAGGGAATATGATTTTCATCCAATATCATAATTATTGCACCATGGCCTGTTCTGAACATGTCTATTTCAGTTGACTCTGTTACAATGATGGAGATCACAATGCCTCATGATGGGGCAGTAATTAGGGATAAAGCCAACCAACACTACCTAACGAAAAGTGTGAGCACAAGAAACTTACCTATCAGGTTCATCATCTAAATCCGAGTCCTCTTTCTCTGATTGCAACCTTGCCAAATTGTAGTTGATGGAGGAATGGCGAGTAAAGCGAAGCTGGAGGAGCAAAAAACATGAAGATTATGACACAAGACAAGATGTGCAACATAAATTTTCTTATGGACAAAATTTTCAGCTAAACTAATGTAATGGATATTTATACGGCGATAATTACAAACAGATTCTAGAATACTAAACTGAACAAACTGCTGTTTTAAATCTAGACAAAGTATTGATTATACGATCTTTTTAGTTGTTCACAAATTCAATGAACTATAAACAAGGACTACATGGCGCTGATCACTACAAACCAACAATTTTATTTCTTTTTGTATATCTGGTTTGCTCTCATTTTTCACACAAATTGGTCATCCATTGTCACAACTGTTCCTAACTTATGGTCATGAATTTCATATCAGATCATCCATGACCTTTTTTATAGAGAACTTTATGATAAACCAGAATCATCCTACAGAACTCATGTTAAACCAGAGTAATGTTGTCTTTAGTCAATTTATTTTCTCCATGAAGGGAAAAGGAAATGCCACAATTCTCCCAATTATTATATTTTCTCCCAATTCTATATGATGAAATCAACTAGAAGAAATAACAAAAGAGAGACCAGATTTATAGGTTGTAAATATGATCTGTGATTTAGCTACTTATGATCCATGTGCCGACACAATATTAAAGCATCTGAACCTACTTCACTCTATGAAGAATATAGAGGGCACTGTTTCTACCTTGTCTTCTCTTGTTTCCCTTTAGTGTAAATTTCTAGTAAATAAGACGTAACATTTTGCACGAAGTTGTCTGCAAACACATATACTCTAGAACAACTACGAACCTGATCACCATCTTTGATCTTGTAGATTCCTAAATAACTGCTGTCATTAAGTAGCTTGTGGCTATTGTAGGAAAGACAAAACTGACCCCATACATGTGGCCTGCATAAACAAATTTGACTTCCATTATGGTATCAGAAAGAACCATACAAGATAATTACGACCGGAATCTGCCAAAATATAAAGCCATTTTTCTCAGAGATAAATGAACATTAATAGCACACCACGAAAAATCCAATTCCAAACTCATGCACGTCTGAACTAAACGTAATAAACTCCCATTATTAAGAAACACATAACTTATAACAAATTTATATTGGAAAAATTCGAATGCAAATATGGAATTGATGCTTTCAATGCCCATAGCGAATACAATTAATCTACTGCTGTTCAAAAAGCAATTCAATAATCTACCAAGAAAATGGAGGTGCCACCACAAATTGAGACGTCAAATTGAAATTACCATCTTGGTTTGAGTGCTGTATAGGGAACAGACAATGACGATAGGACAAAGGAATAAGCATAGGAAGTTGATTGCTATTAGAATAAGAATTCGTAATTGATAAACACATTCTCCATGTATATGGTAATGTAAGACTGTCTCCATCTTTTGTACGGTCTCAGAAACACCAATTCTGGCCAATTTTCCTTTCTTCTCAACTTCATATAATCACGGGTGAGATGCACCACAAGAAAATTGAACTTTCATTGCCATTCCAATTGTTTTGCAATTTCAGATTCATATACCACTACCAGAATTAAAATTCCAAAACTTACGGCAAATTGCTGATTCAATCCATCATATGACCTCCCCCAGAAAAAATAAATAAATAAATAAATAAAAATGATAAAGTTTCACAAATTCAGAGTGCATTACCATGAAACTCTACCAGGCCCTGTCTTTGGCAAATGACTAAATGCCGCCTCAACCGCCAGCTTCAGCTCCTTCACCGTCCCTTTTTTAGCCACCTGAATTTCTATAAAATGGAAAACACAATATAAAATCCGAAATGTTTAATTCCACATGCAATTTACACACATTAGCACATACACATACACGCCAGTACAAACACGTATCTCAAATCATCCGCATTAACAAAAGAAGGGGAAAACACGAAAAGCAATTTACCAAAAGATGAGCCGTCCAATTTGAGAACGCTGAGCCGGAGGGGCTCCTGAGGAAGCTTGTTGTAGGAAAAACTCTTCCTGGAGAAGCTATCAACGCAGAACAAAGGGGAATAGTGGACTGCACGCGACATCGATCCATTGGGAACCCTTGGGGCATAAATATCGTCATCCCTCTCCACAATTTGCATCCTTAATAACAGAAAAACGAAACCCCAATATAATTCCCGCCTTTCAAAATTCCCACATGGATTCACATCTATAGAGGGATGATATTGTATTAGTTTTTCTCTTGCGGTATGGGGAATATGAGCTCTTGACTTTACGAGATTCTTTGGAAAAGAGTTAGGGTTAGAGTGTCGCTTATGTCGGAGGGGATTCTTGAGAGAGAGAGCATGAAAATGATTCTCCTTTTCTTCTCTCTGTTGAACGAATCAGTCCCTGACTGGTTTTGGAGGAAAGAAACGACAGTTATTTTCGTTAAAGGAAGATCTAACGTTCAAGTACGCGTCTTTATAAAGCGTGTGTTTATCTATCGCGATTTGTATCAAACTCTTAAATTTTTTTGGTACTTAAATTCTATTTAAATGGTAGTAAATGATGCACGGCATAAAATATTTGGGACACAGAAGATATTTATTTTCTTCATTCAAATTTGTGTAATTTTTATTCAAATTTTAAACTAATTAAGATTTTCATCATTCAAATTTGTGTAATATTTATTTATTTTCTTATCATCCACTTAATCTTTGTTCGTCTAGATTAAGCTCTAAATGAAAAGATTGTGCTTTCTATTACAAATTATTTTAAATATAATACAAGCTTTCATATAAGGACCTTCAATTTCTCTCTTGTTTCTTTCTTTTCTTTATCTCTTCTCTTAGTTTGAGTCCATCCTTATTGCGTTTTTATATCACAATTGTATGATATCGTAACAAGTAATATAGTAGGCTTTTGAATTCGAATTATTGATCGCGCAAGGATTATACTTTAGTGCTTAATTTATTATTTCTAACTATGAAAAATATAAGAATTGTAAGATGGTGATTGTTTTTCTATCTATATCTACTAATTGAAAATAGTAATATGTACACAAAGATCGATTGAAAATTCAAATACGGGATAGGCATTAGAACATAACAATTTCATCTATTGATTACCTTTACATTCATAAATCTAATATAGTGTTCAATATAATTCTTCTATTGTATTCAGCTCTTGTTTGAGCAAGATCTTTCCATCAAAATATATTCTTCAACGATAATTTGATTCCATTCAACCACACATTTTACAATAAAATAATATTACACGTAAACTCAAAACATTTTTTTTATTTTTTAATTACACATTTCCTATCATAACACTATTTTAAAATATATTTTTTCAAAAAAAAAAACGAGGGGGGGGGGGGGGGGGGGGGGGGGGGGGGGGGGGGGGGGGGGAGGGGGCTCAAACAACCCCTCAATTTACTTCTCTTGAGTTCTCATTTAACATATTCAATCACATATCTCCATATGAATCAATCTTAGTTAAACGCACTATTTGTTCTAACAATAATTATCATAGATATCTCTACACATTATAGTGAAATTACTACATTTTAATACTTAATCTAAATCTAAAACTCACATCTTGATTCGTAAACAAATTAACAAAATCATTAAATTATTGATCAAGTAATTCAAAGTATTAATTACATAATTGAAATCAACACATATATAATGAAAAAACCTGAATCTTAAATAAATAAAAATAAAATAAAATAAAGGTTTTTAATAGATTTCATGGTTTGCCTTAATAGAAAATTTAGCTACACATAATGTAAAAGAAAAGCAAAATATTTGTATTGAGTGTATCCTTGAGTTTTGAATTGTGATATAAAAAAGTGGATGAATCTTACACCAAATTCCTCTTGTTCCGAATCTTGAATTCAAATCCTCAATTTTTTTCTCCTCTGATTTTGCCCTTATATTCTTCAAGTTGTGTTTTGTGTCTCTTAATGTGTGAAACCTTTCAAAATAACCTTCATTCTTGTATTTATACTTCCTTTCCCCTTTCCTGAAATTTGGAGTTTTTATGAGCTATAAACATGCCAAAAATTCGAGCTCTAGACGTATTGGGGGCGCCTAGGCACCGTATAGTGGCATCGCAACGCCGCGAAGACATTGAGGTGCTAGTTCTTTGGAAAAATTCAGCACGGTAAATTCTTTAGTATTTTTATCGTAACTTTCTCTCCCGATATCCGCTAGGGGTGATTCAAATTGATTATAGAAATAGCTCAAACAGCTACAATTTGACTATAAACAACTCTTTTCCAATTCGAATGTTATTAGGTAAAAAAATGGGTATCAATGTTGAGCTAAATATTTGGAACATCCTTATGCTGTTAAAAATTGATTTGTAAAAATATTTTGGTCATATTTTACTCATTTTTTTTATTTCTAATTGCATTCAATTGGACCTTAGCATTCTCGAATCTTCATCGTGAGGTTCTAACACTACTTTTGAGTTTTTACACTTTAGTCCCCAAACTTTGAATCTTGCTCATTTTCACCAATTTTTGCTTCTTTATTTCAATACACTTCCATTTTCCGAGTTTTACCTAATAAACGAAATATAAATAAATTAAATTATATGTTTTCAAAAGAATTATTAAATTTCTATATTTTTAAGTCTAAATAAATGTGTAAAATACACTTATCAACCTTCATATTGATATCAAAGTTTGATGATTTTGTCTGATTAAATTACTCTACACGTGCACGTTACCGTTCATAATACGGTAGCCCGTAGCAGCAACCCAAACCCATCTACATACCCAAAAAACCAAGTTCAAACAAATAAAAAGCAGTGAGAGATTGTAATTGTATTCGTAATAATAATAATAATAATAATGTGACCATTCTTTTATACGGACTATAAGGATATTATACGAAAGTTTAGGGATGCATTTAGGATTTTTGTTAGAGAGGACTGAAATTTAAAAAAATCAAGTGCAAAATTTATTTATAAATTAGTCATCGGACGACGGTAATTCAACAATTTCTTTAATATAAACTATTATCAATGGCAATTAGAAAATGAATAAATAATTAGCGACGTGGAGGCAAATGAAGTATTTACTAATAGAGTAAAACTGAGAAGCATGAATCTAAGTCGTGGAGGAATTGGTTCAAATAATTAACCAAAAATTGGAAAATGAAAAGGTGTGTAAAAGTAGAAAATAAAAAGGTGTGCGAAAGTGAAAAATGAAAATGTGTGATTACGTATCAACTTCGACCAAATATTCGGAGTTGATCAGATGGTCAAATTACGAAAGTAAATAGACCAACTTATTCTACTCGTCGAGTAGATCGTTGTAATATATTTGGAATCTCAAAATCAATTCCGGATGAATGAGAAATTGCGGACTAAAGTTGGAAGAAATGAATTATTGCAACTTTTCGAAAGAATGCAGGTTTTGGCTAAGTGTTGTAACTTTTCGAAAGGATGCAGGTTTTGACCCACACTACTTTATTTGCAACTTTTTTACATCTATAAATAGAACTCTATGGACATGATTTTGGGTACACTAATTGCATTGAGTATTCATTCTCCTTTTACAATTCTCTCATTTCTAATTCCAGAGTATTTTTATGCATTTTCTTGGTAGAGAAGGAATTTCGTTCGAGTTCGCTGGTCGAAGTCATTTGGAGTGCTCCTATGGCTCGAGATGGTCGTTGTATCTTGAGAGATGATTGCCAAAAAATCGTTAGCACCGATGCGGAACAAATTCATCTTAAGAAAACAGTGTTAAACATTTGTCTCGACCAAAAATTCATCACTTGCATATTTCTTCCTTCATTTTCTAAGTTTCTTAATTATTTTGTTCTGCAAGGTTTGATCCAAAGAATAACTTGCTTTCGTTCAAGAATCAAAAAAGATGAATCCATATTCATGCATTCAGATTCGATAACTATTATTGTTTTGTTTCTCAAATTCTTTTTCGGTAAGTCGAAATTACGTTTCGATTTTACGCAAATAAACGGTATGCTTTTGTAAATATAATATGCACATTTAAATCGGTGTATTCTCCAACAAGTAGTAGCCCAAATAAATCAATAAACGAAGGCTTTAAAATAGTATAAAATTAAAATGTAATTGGTTAAGCAAGTAGCAACATTATAAATATAAAATCAACCAACAACTAAATTTTTTTTACAAATTCCAGATTTTCACTTATTATTATTATTATTATTATATGAAATTAGATGAAATAAATTTTAAAAATAGAAAAGACAAATAAATTTTAAATCAATCACACCCTTCAAACAAAAAGGAAAATTCTACATTTTTCTTTATTGCCTACAGTCTACTCGATCAATGATGACAATAACTTTTGTATATCCATGTTTATGCCAATATTATTTAACCTTGATAAATATAGATTGTCAATATATTATTCATGATGTTTTATCACATTTTAGTATTATTTTTCAATTAATTTGATCATATAATCACACAAATACGATGATTTTCTTTATAAAATTTCAACCCAATAATTAAAATTTAAACACAATAATTAACGTTCCAGCTCAGTCTCCTCCTATCCGCCTATGCAAAAGTTAATAAATTTAAAATTAGAAACCTTGATTAATTAAATTTCTTTCGTGTCTTGAATATATTTCTTGATTAATTTTATAAAAGTGTTTATATCTCAATTAATTCAAGTATTTTATACTGCTACTACTAAAGAGACCCTACAAAGCCTATATAATTGAAGCTCAATCAATAGACTACGTCTACTCGAACTTGAACTGCTGGAATTAATTGTTAGCCTCTTCTCATTCAGCTAAAAACGCAAGACTATGCTCTCGAATTATTAAAATCACAAAATGTATATTATTAAATATATACATATTAGGCACCATTGAGCCAATTTTGAATATCACGTCTTTTTAAAATAAGATAATACTAAAAGATATTTTTGCTCTTCCTTAAATTAATCAACGAGTAATTTGTGGGTGGAAAATGACCATTTATATGCATGAATTTCTAACATTTTGACCTTCTTTTTGATGTTCTATAGCTCGTCGAGTGCTGATTCTGCCCCTGTTTAATAGGTGATTAGGCTCATTTCCCAACTATTAAACAAAAATAAGAGCAATCTTCAATGGATACCATTGTTAAGTTACTTTTCCTGGTTTTCAATTTAGTTTTGGTTTCATGTTCATGGGGGAGTACGTGTTTCGTTGGTGACTAGTGAAGCATAATAAGATTGAGAGAGTAGTCGACATGATACCTGAAAATTAACGTGACTTTATTTAATGGTCTATGTGTCCTATGCTTAATGTGAAATTATTGTGCAAAGGTTTCGAAAATGGGGTTGAGCACAGTGACTAACGGGTGATAAATTGAAAGTTCTGTACGATTTTTATAAATTAATAAAGTTCGAGGACCAAAATAGGACGCACC